GATTTTATCAAAACTCGCGTAGCTCTGTCGTTTTTCACCTCGCATATGACTTCAGAATACTGGGCACGCGCTATACCAAAGCATTAAAGCGTTGAAGTTAAATAGAAATGTGTCTGAAAAAAATCAGGGTGAACCCCCCCCCCCCCCCGCCCCCTTAATGATCATAATTCATGAACATGGTTATTGGTTAATTACACTAAACTATCTAGTTCAACAAAACACCATGATCTAGTTCAATAAAGTAGCAAGGTATGTACCTCAAATTCCTCAATAATTGTAGTTGCTTTTATTCTGACCCCACATCCAGAAACACGCCATCTTGCCAGGCATACTGGGAGGAAATTTTTTTGGGAGGAAAAAACGGGAGGTAAAAGAGGAAATTTTCGAGAAGTTACTCCTAAATTCAAAATAATTTTTTGGAATAAAGACAAATTGATTGATCATTGAGGAAATTTTTGAAGAAAATATTTCGACTGTGTAAAAATCAAAGAGGAACATCCTGTCAGTTTTGGAACACAGTGAAATATTTTGAAATTTGTCTACCTTACAAGACATATTTATAACGGGTCCGGGACTCTAGGGCGTAAGACTCTAGGGCGTGAGACTTTAGGGCGGCGCCCTAACCCTAACCATCACCCTAACCCTAACCCTAACCCTTATCCTAACCCTAACCCTAACCCTAACCCAAACCCAAACCCTAACCCTAACCCTAACCCTAACCCTAACCCTAACCCTAACCCTAAGACCCTAGAGTCTTACGCCCTAGAGTCTTACGCCCTAGAGTCCGGACCCCATTTATAACGTACGAAATGTGGCGGTTTTCCGAAAATTTCGCCATATTTTCGAACCGCCAAAATTTCGGTCGTCGTAATAGAATCCGCGTCGCATTATATTTTAGCTTATTTCAATGACTGTGCCTTCACTGCTTTATTTTGTTTCTAAAAAGTAATATCAAGTAAAATAAATAAATAAATTCTGGCATCTTGGGACAAATTATCACCACACCAATGACGAATTGAATGTCAAGCAATACAGTTTAAATTTGCATTAAAATACATGTATGTGCTAACATGAAAGTCAGACTAAGTTTGAACATGATTTTACCGAATTTCAGAAATTTCCTTACTGCTTACTGTCACAAAAAATGATGAAAAATACCCTTATTTTCTGTGACGTCCGAAATTTGACAGTTTTTGTTCAATTTCGCCATATTTTCGGTCCGCCAAAATTTCGGTCGTCGCAAATTAGGCCGCCATAAATATGTCTTGTAAGGTATTTACAAGACTTGGTTTCTCACTCAAGTGCTCAATATCAACATTGGGGCTGGCCTTCCCCGACTTGAAGGCCATTTCATTACATACATGATATTTGTGTGCTCACTGTAACGATAATATAATATATTCGATATAAATTTTTCGTTCAAAATCAAAATCATTGGTAATAGTGTTTCAAATAGACCTCTATATAACAAAATTGCTTCCATGGCTTTTATGCTTTTACAACTTTACAAAATTCAAATTTTTTTGCCTGTGGCGGGCAGTATGCACTCGCCTTGCTCGTGAATTGGTTCAGTGTTAAAAATTTGCGAGCGAAACGAGCGGGCCACAGAAAAAAAGGCAAACTTGCGAGCGAAGCGATTGGGCCACAGAATTTAGAAAAAACGCATCTGGGAGGAAATATAAAACTTTCTGGATGTGGAATTCTGACGCGGTGATGGTATCACACCTTTAGCTCGAAGTACCTGACTCCTGAAGAAAATCTTGTCAGAATCTGGACTTAGATTAGAAATTTTCCTATCTTTCAAAATCACACCTAATCGTTTCATAGAATAATGAAAGTTTATCTTACAATTTCAACTCGCAGCATTGAGATATAAATATACCGTCCTTGACAGAGTTTACTTTGGTAACCAACATCTTTGGGGACAATGCTTAAATTCGTTGGGCGATCAGAATGACAACATTATGACCCCATCAAGTCACCCGACAATATTATGACCCCATCAAGTCACCTGAGTCTGACAACATAATAACCCCATCAAGTCATCTGACAACATTATGACCCCACAAAGCTCACCTGACAACAGTATGACCCCACAAACCTGACTGCAGCATCTTTGAAAAGCTCCTATCCTGGTTCCGAGTTCTACAGTCCGGCGCGCGTAGTCCGGGGATATATTCCAGGTGTCCGTACGCGCCTGAACCCGCGCTGTGTGCACCCGCCATCGTGAAGTTGGCGAGTGTCAGCCTGCATGCTCCTTTCACACTGAGTTGTTATCAAGGTAGAAATATCCTCGACAATTAATAAACTAATGCAAACGTTAAGATTAAAGACATAATATTGAAGCCAGCGAACAGCAGATTATAATTGTGGACGAGAGTTGTCATCCTAGAGTCTGTAATTGTTACATTCTGGTTTTTACTCTACAATAACTCAATAAATAAGATAGATAATTAGTGGTGACATAGGTTACAACTAAATGCTGAATTCTTATGATAATAAACCACGATTTACCATGAATGTTTCCTTTCCCGCTGTAAATCTGGGTTTCACTGTAGCAAACAGAAACAAGGAGGAAATACCAAATATTGCAGGTAACTTACCCGTTAATAGTGGGGTTACAGTGAGATATGGCTACAACACAGGTGACCTGCAAACAGAGGACTGACACTAAAATGTTAGCTGTTTTCAAAATCAGTCTTGTCATCTGCTCATCCGTGGCGGTTCTTACTCGCTTGTACTTTCTAATTCTATCCTAAATTTTCGGAAACTTTGTTGTATTATTTAGTTGATTTGGGGACTTAGTGAGGGAGCTAAGTAATAGCAAGCGACATTTTAAACCAGCAAACAACCCAACAAGTCAACTACAAGACGTGACATGACAAATTATTTGTGTGAAACACAAAAAGACGTGTGTTTTTTGTCAAGACGAGTAGTAAATTTAAGTGTTGGATGTAACTTACATCACAAAGACATCTAACGGTAGTTAATCGTTGTTTAGAAAACATTATAAAGTTACAGTTCAGTATATTCTTCAGCTTGTGATCAGGTCCTCTTAAAATCTGAAAATATATTTACACTATGCTGCTAGAAACGCTTCATGTGCATTACACTGCTGCTAGATACGCTTCATGTGCATTACACTAGGCTGCTAGATACGCTTCATGTGCATTACACTAGGCTGCTAGATACGCTTCATGTGCATTACACTGCTGCTAGATACGCTTCATGTGCATTACACTGCTGCTAGAAACGCTTCATGTGCACTACACTATGCTGCTAGATACGCTTCATGTGCATTACACTATGCTGCTAGATACGCTTCATGTGCATTACACTATGCTGCTAGAAACGCTTCATGTGCATTACACTAGGCTGCTAGATACGCTTCATGTGCATTACACTATGCTGCTAGATACGCTTCATGTGCATTACACTATGCTGCTAGAAACGCTTCATTTGCATTACACTATGCTGCTAGATACGCTTCATGTGCATTACATTATGCTGCTAGAAACGCTTCATGTGCATTACACTATGCTGCTAGAAACGCTTCATGTGCATTACACTCCTGCTAGATACGCTTCATGTGCATTACACTCCTGCTAGATACGCTTCATGTGCATTACACTATGCTGCTAGATACGCTTCATGTGCATTACACTACGCTGCTAGATACGCTTCATGTGCATTCAAACGAAAACATTGTACCCAAAAACAAATTATTATTATCACTTCGAGATGGCAGGGCCTACTGACTACTCTCATGCTGTCTATAGGTGATGATTAATTCTGAAAAACTAGGGACAACTGGGGAATGTTCCCAGAACCTCGACATTTCGCGTGTCTTGCTCTACCAATTGAGCTTCTGACCCTGATTCTCAGAGCGAAATCACCACTCATATACAGCACAATTTCATGCTTTGTGCGGAATATCATTTATCAGTTATTAGAATATATATTCGCATATATCCACACTATATTTACATTACACGTTCAACGTGATATCATTATCAGTGCAGTGTGTACAACACCAACTACACCGATCAATTGCCAATCTGCGAAACATTTAATTATTATTATCACTTCGAGATGGCCAGGCCTACTCTCATGCTGTCTATAGCTCTATATGTGATGATTAATTCTGAAAAACTAGGGACAACTGGGGAATGATCCCAGAACCTCGACATTTCGCGTGTCTTGCTCTACCTGGTAGAGCGATTGGCAATTGATCGGTGTAGTTGGTGTTGTACACACTGCACTGATAATGATATCACGTTGAACGTGTAATGTAAATATAGTGTGGATATATGCGAATATATATTCTAATAACTGACAAAAACCAATTAATGCATTAACTAAATTAGGTTAATTTCGATGAATTCGGATATGGCCATATTCGGTTAAATGCAACCCATCTTGTTCAATCTGGGAAGTTAAGGAGGTTCAGACCTTCATCGTCAAGTTCTATACCTGAATCTGTGTTGGGTCAGAGGTCAAATCATGCAGCCAACTGGATTAAGGCAGTAAGGTAGTACGTTTTCGTGAAAAGCAAGGGTAAGATGTGCCGAGAGCGGGAATACCTGAATTCAAGTGTTACAAATATTGTTCGTTTTATATACTGTATCTGACAAATGAAACCCACTGATTCTTGTACCAACTATGGTCATAGGAGACTAAGGAATATATACATTAGTAAATAAGTTACATAATAATACATAATAAATTACCATATATAACACCTCCCCTTCTATTTTCAAACCACTTGACATAAACAACAAAGATTAAATTATATACCTCGTGTTCATTTACCTCGTGTTAAATTATATATTAAAATAAGCCGCGCACGTACAAAAGATTACTAACTGGCTAGTCTGTATTCTGAAAATAATTTCGCGCTCAACATAAAGTAAATACCAAATCATCAAAAACAATTATTTCACTGCCAGTGAACAATTATCATACTGGACTAAATATTTTAAAAACAACTCTTAAGTTCATCATGCTGTTTTCTTGAAACCAGCAAGTAACTTATAATCAACTTTCGGCTTAGATCGAAGACTAACACGTAACGGTATAATATCATCTGTCACATTACGATTATCAACATTAACTGGTGTACTGTTTACATTCTCTCTATTCGAAATATCAGAACTTCTACTAGGTAAACTATCGGTTAAAATATCAGGTTCTCTAAAAACTGGTTCAGCTGTAATCACAGATTCAGGTGTACTCACAACCAATGGACTTACTACTGGTCCAGCAATCTCAGATAACACAGGTTCCACAACAGGTACAAACGGCACAACTCTAACCTGGTGATCATTGTCCGGTACAGTTGTAGATCTTCTTAACACATCTTTTACTCTCTCTTTTATCGAATCAGCGTGTTTCTGGATCACTCTGTTTCTGTATACCACATCGTATACATTCGACGTACCAACTCTCTGTAATATCTTAGCTTTCTCCCAAGTCTTATCGTTAGTAGCTTGAATCCAGACGTCTTGATTATCCACAAACTCTCTCCTCTTTTCATTTAGAAGTTTCTGTTCCTTGTCGGGGTGTAAAGATTTCAATTTCTGTTGATCCGATGGCTTTAATGCGTGCAGGTTAGAACGTAATGTTCTACCGTACATTAGAACTGCGGGTGGGGTATTTGTCACCGTATGAGGGCAGTTCCTGTAGGAGATTAGAAACTCTGCTAAACATTCGTCCAAATCCCTATTAGTTTCCCGCATCTTTTTCAGCGCTTTCTTGAATGTTCCGTTAAACCTTTCAACAATCCCGTTTGTCTTAGGGCTGTAGATTGGAATAAACAGATGTTTGATCCTGTGTTTCTCGGTAAACTCGCTCATTTCCTGGTTCTTGAAATGTGTTCCATTGTCAGAAACCAGTACACAAGGATATCCTGTTCTAGAAAATATCGTATGTTACGCTTTCACGGTAGCATGAGCTGTTGAACTGTTCATCCTGATAACTTCCGGCCATTTGCTGTAAGCATCTTGCAATACTAACCACATGCTGTTCATGAACGGTCCTGCATAATCCACATGAACCCGCTGCCATGGTCCGGTTGGTTGATTCCAGGGATGATCAGCGACTCTAGGTTTTGAGTTACCATACTTTCCACAACTATCACATGTTTTACATGTGTTTTCAATATCCGCGTCTATTCTCGGCCAATACACATAGCTTCTAGCTATCGATTTCATACCACACATTCCAATGTGCGTGCTGTGTAAGATCTTCATGACATGACCTCTTAACTGTGCAGGTATCACCACTCTCGTTCCCCAGGTAATACAGTTAAGTTCCAATGCTAACTCATCTCTTCTGTTCCAGAATGCTTGCATATCCCCCTCTGCTTTCAAGTTACTTGGCCATCCCTCATGAATGTAACCAAATACCTTACTCAAAACAAGGTCTTTTCTAATTTCCCTCGCAATCAGCTCTGCGTCAATGTAAGCATCCTCCAGAGTAACAGCAAATATCTCAGCTAGATCATCTTGAACTTCTGAAGTTTTCACAGATTTACTGCACGGTAATCTGGATAAGAAATCACAGTTTGCATGTTGCTTTGTTGACCGGTACTCAATTGTATAATCATATTCTGATAGGAATAATGACCATCGGTTTACTCTACTTGAAGCCATCTGCGGAAGTCTGTTCTTTCCAAAGATATAAGTGAGCGGTCTGTGGTCGGTGATCAGCTTAAACTTCCGTCCATACAAGTATATGTTGAACTTCTTGATCCCCCATACAATCGCTAACGCTTCTCTATCAATTTGAGCATAATTTCGCTCTGCTGACGATAAAGTCCTAGAAGCATACTCTATTGGACGTTCCTCCCCTGAAGGTAGTACATGGCTCAGCACGGCGCCCAATCCAACACTAGATGCGTCTGTGTCGAGTTTTAGCTCCAACTCCGGCTGATAATAAGTCAAAACTCGATCTGATCCTAGCATCTCAATCAACTTGTCAAAAGACTTCTGTTCCGTCTTCGTCCACTTCCAAGACACATCTTTGCTCCTCAATCTATCTAGTGGTGCAACTACTGTTGATAGATCTGGTAGAAATCGTCGATAATAGTTAACTGCTCCAAGAAAACTGACTAGCTCCTCCGTGTTCGTTGGAACTTTAGATGCTTGTAAGTCTTTCACCTTACTCTGCACAGTTCTAATACCGTCCTTCGATATAACGTGACCCAAGTAAACAACTTGTTCTTTCTCGAACTGGCTCTTCTTACGGTTGCATTTAAACCCTTTCTTCTCCAAGATTTGTATCACACGGTTCAAGTTTTCCAGGTGTTCCTGCTTTGTTCTCCCAGACACGATGATGTCATCAATCCGACATGCAGTCATCGGTATTCCCTTGAGAGCTTCATCCACTACTTCCTGAAAAATAGCACCCGAGCTTGATACGCCATAAGATAAACGATTCCACCGGTAGAGTCCAAAAGGTGTGTTTAACGTCGTCAATGTCTTATCTGCTTCCCTCAGCTCGAGATTGTTGTACGCTTTGGCTATATCCACCACGGTAAACACAACACCTCCTCTGACTGCATGAAGACATTCCTCTAACGAAGGAATAGGATACTGCTTCACTGCGAGACACTTGTTAACTGTTGACTTGTAATCACCACAGATCCTTATCTTTTGCTTTGTGGTAACCACAACAATGGGCGTTGCCCATTCAGAACTTTCCACACTCTTTAAGATTCCGTCTTCTACCATTCTTTGGAGTTCTTCTTTCACCTTGTCTTTTATAGCAAACGGTAACATCCGAGCTTTCAACGATATAGGTGTAGCGTCGTCTTTGATCCTCAGTTGAGCTTTGAATCCTTCCACAAGTCCCAGACCACTAGTGAACACTTCACTCTGTTTCAACTGGTCCAGAGTTCTGAATAGAACTGTAGCTGCAGGTTGATTCTTTGTCTTTGTTCTTCTTTCTTTATCCTCGATGAGTCTTACATCGAGTCTCTGATCTCCCTTGGTATTCCTACCAAAGTCTTTGACTCCCTTAGCATCCTCGCTAGGGTCTTTAACACGAACAACAGACTTCTCGCTCACACTGCACAACACATCAGGCTGCTCAGTCTCACCATGCGACAAAACACTGTCACACTTTACGGACACACGCTCCTGCGACATCAACACAGACTTACGGTCCAAACTGACTGACTCGTCCATGGTCTCACCATGCGACACCTCACTGCCACACTCAACAGACACACGATCCTGCAACACGGACTCACGGTCTAGACCAACTGACTCAACCTCTCGCACAACATACTGACACAAACTACTCTTACCCTCAGCGTTGAATCTTTCCAGTATATCTTTCAACCAACTCTTACCCAGGAATGCTGTTATCCAGTTCCATCCAAACAAAGCCGGAAAGTTCCCTTTGACAATCACTAAGTCTAAACCAGGGATTCTCTTTCCTTTGAATGTCACATTAACAGTAGCCTTTCCCTTAGCTTCCTCGGACTGACCGTTAGCTACTTTAAGAAGCTGATGATGCGGAGACAACACACAAGACAAACCTGACTGTACAAACCAACGTTCCGAACACAAAGCAACACTGGAACCTGTGTCAAACTCCATAGATACATTGACAGACTTACGAACATCACCTAAATCTAACTTAACAGAAACTCTAGGTTTCGGATTAGAATCAACTCGGTTAATAGAATCAACTATATGAATTGAATTAGGTTCCCAATTTGCAATATTACTATCGTTATCAAAACCAGTATCTACATGATCAACTTGTTGCACATGATTTACACAATTCTTCTTAATGTGTCCCATGCTTTTGCGGCAACTTGGTCGTTTAGCTCCGGACAGTCTATGCAACGTCTATGCAACGTCCATGCAACAACAAAAGAACCGTCTATGCAACGTCTATGCAACGTCCCTGCACAATGAACACTCTATGCACACTCCCTGCACGGTCAGTCTATGCAACGTCTATGCAACGTCTATGCAACGTCTATGCAACGTCTATGCAACGTCTATGCAACGTCCCTGCACAGTACCATATGAACACCGGCTACTAGCCGGCTACTAGCCGGCTACTAGCCGGCTAGTAGCCACTTTTGTAATAACAGCTCCTCAACTTCACATTACCAACCGGCTACTAACCGGCACTTGAAAAGTGGTCACTAGCCGGCTACTAACCGGCTACTAGCCGGCTAGTGACCACAAAGTGGCTACTAACCGGCTACTAAGCGGTCACTAGCCGGCTATTAGCCGAGCTCTAAAGCAGACCTACTAGTAGCCGGTTCCAAACCGGCTACTAGCCGGCACTTAGAAAGCGGTCACTAGCCGGCTACTAACCGGCTACTAACCGGCTAGTAACCACCAAGTGGCTACTAACCGGCTACTAACCGGTCACCGCTTTTCAAGTGCCGGCTAGTAGCCGGTTTAGAACCGGCTACTAATAGGTCTGCTTTAGAGCTCGGCTAATAGCCGGCTAGTGACCGCTTAGTAGCCGGTTAGTAGCCACTTTGTGGTCACTAGCCGGCTAGTAGCCGGTTAGTAGCCGGCTAGTGACCACTTTTCAAGTGCCGGTTAGTAGCCGGTTGTTAATGTGAAGTTGAGGAGCTGTTATTACAAAAGTGGCTACTAGCCGGCTAGTAGCCGGCTAGTAGCCGGTGTTCATATGGTACTGTGCAGGGACGTTGCATAGACGTTGCATAGACGTTGCATAGACTGACCGTGCAGGGAGTGTGCATAGAGTGTTCATTGTGCAGGGACGTTGCATAGACGTTGCATAGACGGTTCTTTTGTTGTTGCACGGACGTTGCATAGACGTTGCATAGACTGTCCGGAGCTAAACGACCAACTTCCCGCTTTTGCATTTAAAACATCTCGTTTTGCAATCTTTAAATATGTGTCCCGGCAATTTGCACTTGTTGCAAATTATATTTGACTTAGGTTTACCAGGCTTCTTACCTTTACCTTGCTGCTTGCCAGAATAGTCCCCTGCTGGTTTCCTCCACTTGTTAACACGATTCACACCAGCTGCACCGGACGTAGACGGCTTTACCGCATCCTTACCAACAATCTGAGTCTCCCTCTTTGAACGCTCTTTAGTAACAATTTTCTCTACAGCAGTAATAAAAGTGAGCGTTTCCCAGTCCTCAGCTAACAACATGTCCCGAAAATCATCGCAAAACAATCCAGAAATAAACTGTTCAAGACATCTTGTGTTGAACACATTACCAGTGAAGTTACTCCGTTGCGCACAAGATTTTAATCTTGAAACATAAGCTTGCACTGATTCATTGTTTCCTTGCTTCATACGACTGAATGTAAAACGTTCGGTTGACACTGTTGGCTTTGGACAGAAATGATCTCTTACTAACTGTTTCAGTTCTGTGTAGGGAATTTGCACTAACTGACGCGGATACACAACGTTTTTCATATCGGCATAGACTGATGGCTCCAACGCTGTCAAAAACTGTTTGCGTTTCTTCAGTTCACATGCATTATACAACCCTGTTTGAGTATTGAACGATTCGTCATTTGCAAAATTCTCTCTTACCGGTAACTCCTCGATATAGTCTTCTCTGAGGCTCACCCATAACTCGAATTGTTCACTAAACTCATCAAAATCTGATCCGCCGTTGTAAGTCCGTTTATAGCTCGTCGCCATTTTTATATACTGTATCTGACAAATGAAACCCACTGATTCTTGTACCAACTATGGTCATAGGAGACTAAGGAATATATACATTAGTAAATAAGTTACATACTAATACATAATAAATTACCATATATAACACCCCTAATAGAACGAAGATTTATTTTCTGACAGAAAGCTAGAAATTTACCAAAATATCGACTTTGTTCAAAATTTATTTTGATGACCACTCCTGACCTAAAATTGCACGAGAAATCGATTAAACTTGGTTTCAGAACTCAACAATGCTTCCTTATGCCTTAAAATCCATGTTTTATCGATACAATAAACATTTTGATCCTGTGGATTAATTAGTAACAGGAAACAAATGCACAGAAAAAACCATCGCACTTACATTGCATTGATTGCTGATGATGATCAGGAACGCATGACGTATAAATATCATCACGACGATTATTGGTCACTCGAAATCGACCCGTTAAGAATGCAATGTAAGTGCGATGGTTTTTTCTGTGCATTTGTTACCTGTTACTAATTAATCCACAGGATCAAAATGTTTATTGTATCGATAAAACATGGGTTTTAAGGCATAAGGAAGCATTGTTGAGTTCTGAAACCAAGTTTAATCGATTTCTCGTGCAATTTTAGGTCAGGAGTGGTCATCAAAATAAATTTTGAACAAAGTCGATATTTTGGTAAATTTCTAGCTTTCTGTCAGAAAATAAATCTTCGTTCTATTAGGGGTAATTGGATGTAACTACAGTACAGCTGTACTTACACCCACTTTCACATGCATGCAAGCTCACCTGGTCCAAAGAGCGGGAAACGGAGAACGAGCTCTGGTGACGTCATAGTCACGTGACCTCAGGCTCATAATCACGTGACCTCAGACCCAATCAATTGGGTTCTGGCCTGTTCAGCCCCCTGTCACCCGATCTTGAGGTGACGTACGACAACTCGTTAACCCAATCGATGTCTGGAAGGCTGCAAATGTTCACATGCCAAACTCACAACGGTTTTTCGGAGTTGTGCGAGATGACGACACATAGAGGCCGCAGAATTATGAGGACTACCAGATCCTGGTGGAACCTAAGCGATCCGTGATATCACGACAGGCCCTACAAGACATGTTTACTTTGTCACATCAGTTATTATAAGAGTTATTATAAGAGACTATTTCATTCTATAATCATTGTTTTTAATCTATTTACGATTTCGTATAATTTTTTGTGACAATTTAAACATCAACTGATCTTAACTTGCATCAACTACATTGTCATCATATAAAATTTTTCCACTTTTCAAACTAAAATCAGATATAAATAATTCGCCCAAAATTTAAAATTTCATATATTGTGACAGAATCAACCTCATTTCCCAATAACCAAGTGCCTGTATTAGCTAACTAGTCAAAACAACACATTTTAGGGCTATGATTGGTAGAGCAACCATCAAATAATGAGTTGAAAGGGTTTTTAGGACACCTCACAGTAGAATAGAGGTATGGTATCATGAGTGTGACAAAGTTACCCAAATATTGCCTTGTAACCGTTCGATCTGTGCCCATTAACCAAATATGTTGTATCATAATTGTTAGATTGACCTAATTTACTATATTTCAGACCAAGGAATGATAATTAGACAACTGCAGTTAACTAAGTCACACAAAATGTGACATTTGAAACATTATAGTGCCTAACAACAATAGATTTTCTTTCTGAGCGGTGCATATGGGAGTATGAGCTACGTGGTTAATGTTCAGAACTTCTGAACGTGCCAAGTTAATAGATGTCAAAATTAAGCCACTATCGTCAAAAACGCTATTATGTTTATAAATATCCTCAAACTCA